GTGTTCGTGTGTTCGCGTGTTACCAGGCTACTGTGACCGAACTAGAATATATAATAAGCATGCGGCAAGAAGAAGCAGAAATTTGGAAAGAAAAAATAAAAACAATTTCACCTTACCACCACGTTTGCTTCGTTCTTTCAAGCTACAAAAATGCTTTGGGCCGGTCATTTTGTCCACTCATGYTTTGCGCGCCGCGTTCTCCGCTCAGCTCGATACTTACTAACATACCTAAGAACAAGAATAAGTCGACACTTGCCCTCCGAATTGACCGAAAACAAGAGATGATTTTAAAATTCTTAACACTGATCATAATATTTTTATTATTAATATCATTATTTTATTTCCCCAGCGTTTCCGAGATAATGTATTCGTTGTCATTCAACTTGCTGATCACTGCCTTCTATTGGTTGACATCCGTGGTACCAGCCACAATTTCCAAGGACACATGTCCAGTGGTCAGATACACTGGCAGATTTAAAGAGAGTGACCACGTGAAASACCACGCCCTTATTGGACGATCCTACAAAAACCTGACCACCAATACCATACATGAGTGCTTCAGTGTCTGTATTAATGACTGTCGATGTGTGTCCTATCAACTATCTGGTAGACGTTGTGAGCTGATTGACGAGGACAAACACACAGCTCCTGATCTTTTCAAACGATTGCCTGGGTACCGGTATTACGAGCTGAAGCAACAATTTAGAAAGGTACAATAATAATAACGAATCCTTCATGAGAAAATRGAAACAACTTATATGTTTTAATACGTTTTTGATCTGTTGCAGTCCATTAATGATGGTTGTTCAAGTCATTGTAATAATGGCTGTTGTCGTTATTCTAAACCTTGCCTTAACGGTGGAACCTGCATCGAGACATGCCAAAACGTCACACACAAGTTTCAGTGCAAATGTCCACAGGGTTTTGGTGGAAGAGTTTGCCAGATTCCTCCTTCATGTGAAGCGTACAGCACAATGTCTGTGCCAAACATCTATCCAATCTATACAACCAATGGTAAAGCTTTGAAGGTGTATTGTGACATGACGTCGGAGCCGGGGATGGTATGGACTTTGATCGAGTCATTTGCTCTTTCGGCAAAARAAAAATTCCAAGCGGCACCCGTGACAAWGGATTTTCCTTCMAACGAAGAAAACCCTCCCAACTGGTCTGACTATCGCTTGTCACGCAATGTCATGCAATACGTCAAACGTGACGCTACTCACTGGAGAGCCACTTGTAACTATGACACTGAGAGACTGGTCAAAACAGACTACATCCGGGGACATCTGAGTGAAATGGGTATTCTGACGTACTTGGGGCGTGCCACATGTGCTAGAGTCGAGTACATCAACGTGCGTGGAATCAGCTGTCAGAACTGTACCACTCATTTCAGGCAAGCATCTCTTCTGCATCCATTTGTTGATAGTGGAGTTGGCTATACTATAGTCAACCCCAATTGTCTGTGGGATGGAAGAGCTGGAGCCGTAAAGAGGGGAGCTAACTGGTGCGAAAACTTTGGAAGATACGAGATTATAAACCCTGCTCATCGATGCTCATCTTCGTCTTCATCTACCACCCAGTGGTGGCTTGGAAAAATTGTTTAGGCACGTGACTTTCTTTCGAGTTTTAGCATCCAGACTTTCCGCCTAAAAAAATCATAAAAGTTGCTTTAGTTAGTTTATAACTTGATRTTGACTGAGGTATCGCAAATGAATAAGCAGATTTAATTTAATATAGTAGATCGTCGACCATTATTTATAATAAAAAATTTATTTAGAAAAATGCGCAGTGCAAAACTAGGAATTACCTTAACCGCTCTACTAAAATTCCTTCAATAGGAGATGGCCACTTCGGTAAATATAGATTTCTTAATTAAAAGAGCGGCGTACGGGGTTATATTCACGAGTTGTTTGTGTAAAAACACAAACGAGCGAGGTACGAGCRATGACACGTTGATTGGTCGTATTGCTTTTTTCACATGTGAAACATAAAGCATAGCTTCGAAAATGGAGGCCACATATATTTAACACTATATAATGAGCAATTATTTGATCGTTCATTATATCTCGGTATCGAAAGCTTCTTATATCTCAACATTTGGTTGAGAAACATTGTGTTGACTTCTCTTTCGGGCGCAAGACCTTTAATTTAATCATCTTTTATAAGGCCCAGAAAATTTTACCATGAACGATCAGCGAAATCGATCTATTCTGAACCAGATTCAAATGAAATCTTAGTAAAAAAAAGTTGGAATAATAGAGTTTTCACACTATTTTCGAATTTCTTGCAAGCCAAAGCCAAAACAACACAGGGAGCTAAGCAAGTACCTAAATTTATATATTGAGAGACTTGTAAGAGCGAATGTTCTTAAGTTTGATGGGACTTAGGTCATCTTGCAGTACGTATGCTGTTTTTGATGCCTTTTGACCAATCAGAACGCGGTTTGCAATTCTATTTATATTTCATACTCAAGTCAAGGTGAAGTTATTTCTCTCGGAGCTGCCATGTTTAAGGTATGTATTTAAATAATGAAATATGTCCTTAACAAAGCAAAGACAATCTTCAGTTCTCAATACTTAGAGGTATGTGATAAAAACAAAATGGATTCCTTGGTTTTGTTCAGCATATTGTATGGGATTWATAAGAAAACTAGAATTTCAATCTAAAGTTACCATAAATTATGACATTTAACCAAAAAGTAGACTTCACGATTCAGATTGTTTTTTATTTTAATTTTTTATAATTACTCCTTATTGAATTTTCCTTTTACAGTTAGCGTTAATCTGACTTTTTTTATCTTGTAACTTTGTTCCAAATGCTTGCAATAACTTCGAGTCTTTTCAGATGCCATAATTAACGCACAGGCTAACGGCTTTCTTAAATTTGTTTCGTTTGTAATATTGAAGCGATTTTACAAAAGCTTTTTCCTCCCAGAAGAATAATTGATTATCATCCTTTTATGTGCCAGAGAGCGTAGGATTAATTCCTGTTAGATTTTGAGGAGAATGTGAGTCTGATTGGAGTCCTGGCGTTGTGTATTTTTCCTACACGAGGGAGTGTATTCACCACCCAAATAAACAGCGAAAAACGAAAAAATACATTTTAGATGATTGTAAGTATTTTAAGGAAAGGAATAAAAACCCAACCTTAAATTTGTAACTCAAACCACCTACAACCTGAAATTTCAATTACTTTGGTCGCTTAGTGGGGATTTTAGCCAACATAGCTATTCTTCCTTGAAATAAAGGTTGTTTTACAATATTTTGGCTCGATATATAGTTGCCGGCCTCCTGCTGTCATCCATTATAATAATAAAGACCACGGCCAACATTATGTACACTGCAAAAGTGTGGGAGTTGTATTTTACTTTAAAAGCTGAACTTTCATTATGGATAATTTCCTCCTTGCTTCATGAATCCAGCTATTACTAGAAAAGTGGATCCCTAGTCATCTTCATCTTTAATATATTTTTGCCGATCTATTTTCGACACTACTTAATTATAAGTATTAGACAGTATAAGAACAAATATTCCCGATCAGAGAAAGAGGTATCACTGAACAATTACATAGTTAAGCCGCATATGCATATTCTCCTAATCTTGTAGTATTATAAGTCTAGCAGAAAATAAAATCCTACTACAGGCTAATTTACATGGACGTTTTTATTGAAATGTTTGAAAATACAGTCAATTTTGTTTGTCATTGTGTCTTATGCGTCTAAAGAGACATTTGTCCAACTGGATAAAAGGATTATGAATTATTCAGGGTTTTAAAAATGCACTTGTTCTTACGGTTGCTAGCGTAACGTAGAGGCTTTCTTTCTTATATTTTACACCAATTTTTGTGCAGAAAAAAGTTTCAAAAAGAGCTTTAGCACTATTTTTAAAGTTCTTGCAAGATAAAAAAGTAGGTGATAGCACCTTTGGTGACAACAAAGATTGTATGGGTTCT